GGGTTCCAATCCCGCTGAATCACCAATGGATTTTACCTAAGTTATATTGTCGCAACCCCTAGGTCCAGCCTGATGTAATGTGAAAAACAATCCCAGACGTCCCTAGTGTCCTAGTACTAGGGTCCAACATTAAAAGGGTATGGACCAAAAAAATTAACTCTGTGCAAAATTGATCTCAGGAAATCTAGGCCTAAATCTACTACATAGTTTTTTTAACGACAGCTTAAATGGTACTTACTCTGCGACATCCCTGATTTCCTTTTGTACCGTGGTGGCATCCATGACGAAGATGATGCCTCTCGCAATACCTTTGTACAGGTCAAAGAATTTTCCACGAACTCGTTCATGTCCAGGAATGTCTACAACCCGTAAGAAGCCCTGGAACAATATAGTCAACATGGCAAGTGTTATGGTAGATGATGTTGATTTCAGTAGATTAACAGGCAAGCTGGGATTGAAATGGAATCAATAACAATCAACAGGGCGTAGGCTCTGGTCTAGCAAAATAAGTAATGAGTCATGGCAACACTAAATAAAATGCTCTTCTGGCATGACGACATCGTAGGTGACGGCAATGGCGTAATTTTTGCTGTTTGTGATCAGCTGCTTGTTTTATAATCTTTTCTTGGAAAACAAAAATATAACTAAAAAAATAACAATACGTCATTGTCGTCGTCTATAATGACGTCATGCCTGTGGAGCATTATGGCCTGTTCATTTAGTGTTGCCTTGAATCAGTAGGAATAATTAGTAGGATTTAAAAAACTTCCACCTTCGCATGATTAAGTAGAGGCCTAATTTGATTAAAATGTTTAAAAATATTTTACATTCCAAATACAGTCTCGTCATTAATGCCACTACGATTTTTGACGAATTATCAAACCTGATTTTCTGGATGAAAACGGAATTTGCCGTAAAAGTGTTCAAAATGGTCCAAACAGTAAATAAAAAATATACAAGAAAAAATGTTCGGGGTAAAACAGGCGTTTCCTCAAAAAGTGCTCAAAATGGCTAGACCTATATAATGAGAGAACTATAGGTACTACTTTTTTCTAACATCGTTTGGAGGCCCTAAACCAAACAACGCTACTGATTCAGGTTAGGTTGAAGCAACCTTGCATGACGCAAATCCAATAAAGGCCTGGCAATATCATAAAGCCTTAAGATACAAAGCAGCCGTTCAATTAAATTACCTTAATGCATTACCTACTGTGTTAGCCTAATTAAAAACCTTTTAAAATGTTCAATAATCTTTGTAAAACGTAACAAAAGGATTAATTTAAAATAAATTATGGCCGTTAAAATCATCTTTACGTTACTTTACCTAACATAACGCAAGTTGCCTATAAGTGTCAATGCATGTTTAAACAAAGCAATTTGTAACGGTTTGATTTTGTTTGTTGGGAGTATGTTGTTGTTATCGTCTTTAATTCGATGAATTAGAACCGAGGATGGGTTGGGATGTGGCAATCAAGTGGTTAAAATATATAGGTACTCTTAGTGCTAGGAAACGTGCTCTTCACGCTCTGGTTATACAATGTTATTAAGCTTCTGTAAAGATGGTGATAAATTTATAAAATTTCTCACTAGGCCTAGATTTACTTATATTTGGTTATTTTACAAATAGGCTACTGTAACTTAATTTGTTACTTACATTATTTACTATGAAGTCCCCAGCATTTTCTTTAATTGATGTGTGAGAGTTGACATAGCGACTATAAAGCAGCCGAGAGAATACTAAAGTTTTGCCAGCATCGCAAAGTCCCATGATCAACACACCTCTTCGAGCATTTTGTCTGCGCTGCCACAGTACAAATAAAACTGCAAGAGATAAAGGTTATCTTTATTCTACCTTGCATTTTTTTAAAGTCCGTAATGCTGACGTAACTTAATAAAAGTAATAAGTACTAAATAATTGTTAAGGATTATTATGTACCAGCTAGCTTACCTGGTAGATAGAGTCCAGATTAGCCTTGATTACACATAAAACACATAGGCCTAAAACACATAACACAACACAGAAAAACTTAATATTTCGTCCCAGTTAGGGACTTCATCAGAAGGGAGAAGAAAGAAAACTGGCAGTTACAGTTCAAATTCCACATAATAATCCTACATATTAATCCTAATCAGCCAATTGGCCTTTCCTAACTCCTAACCTATAAATAATTGTTAAGTTATTCTCTGTTTATTTGTTACGGTTAACCTATATAAATAAGAGGGTAGTTTTTTAGGTGAGGGATATGAAGAGGGTAGTTTTTTAAGTAAGGGATATGAAGCTTCTCAGTTGTTTCTTGTGGTCCACAAACATATCACTGGCATTATCTCTAGTAGGTACCATGGGACATTCAATAATAAGTAGGCCTACGTACATCAAAGTGTACAAGTAAGCTGCGCGAATGGCGCCATTCAATCAAGAATTATTGATGCCAAAAACGGCATACAACTATAGGCCATTGTTTGTCATGCACTGTTATAGATGTCAGCACTGTGTTTACACTGAGAGTAGAGACAATAAAACCAGAGTACTGTGGTTCATTCTACAATAAAGTATCCACTCAAACATTGTCTAGGCTAACTTATCATAACTTAAGTTATAGTAACTTAAGTTAAGAGACATTGACATTTTGTCCATAGGCCCTAAATCTAAATATTTGTCATTTTGCAAACAAATTGCGTACAGGTAGGATGGTGGCTTGTAGAAATTAATGGTAAAAAGATACTTACTTATAGTTATAATAACAGCAATCACAGCGACAATGACACCAAGCATATGGGAATTGAGACCAAATGTTGGATCGAACATTTTATCCTTTTTTACATGTACATCTGAGTCTGTTGACATATTTATTTCAATTTGTAGTCTCCGTGTCTATCTTAAACACACAAGTTAAGAGAAAAACGCAAACAAATTCAAACCTGGTGAAAACACTGAAAGGTTACCTAAAAAAACAAGTTATAAATTATGTCTTCATTATAAGTTGAATGATGTTCAACAATCAAAATTAGGAATTTTACTCACAAGCAAATTCCCAACCTACTTTAAACACTAGACAATATTACTATCAAAGTTTTTGTTGAAACTTGAAACCTAATCAAATAATGTTATTTAGTCTAACTCAACGACAACAACTAGACAGAAGACACAGCTCCAGCTGACAACTTTGACTTCCATTCATTCCAAAACGGCGACACGACACAAGGTTTAACTTTTTTTTAGTCTCCAGTCCTCAGACTAAAGAAGAAAGAATTCCATTTATCATAGGTTAAAGTATACAAGAAGTAATATTTTTGTTATTAAAGTGTTAATGTTATTTATCTTATTTTTATAATTTTAAAATCCAAACATGCGATCTTACAATCTGTGAACTATGTGTATCATTAACACCATTGGCTTTTGTCTTGTTTTTGTTTTTTGTGTTTTTGGGGAGGGATCGTCCAAATATACCAAATATATATAATATGTTATACGAAATCATACTTTAAAGGGTATACCGTATACCGAGCCGGATGCAAGACTTTTTTCTATCATAGATGGTCAATTTAAAATCTCGCTAATCAATCACCAATGATTTTAGAACTGTAGTGGTGAGTTGAGTGTCGGTGCAAACCAGTGCCATAGAATTTAGGGTCAACATTAAACTGTAGATCCAGCTTTAACAAAAGTACTATTTGATTGAGTGGACAGGGCCTTATCACGGCCGCCTTTAACTACAGGCCGCGGCCTAGTAGAATTGGCAACATCGCAAGTGGTGTTGCGCACCACTAAAACAGCCCAGCCAAGACACAGAGACATACACCAGCACAACACACGACATGCCGCCAATTTTTCCCTCGAACAACACCATCTGAGTCTGTACGAGAAGAAACCATCCTACAAATGTGCTCTGTACTTTAACAACCTACCAGAGCACCTCAAGAGAGAACAACCCAATCTGTTCAAGAAGCACCTAACAACATGGCTTATGGACCGGCCGTTTTACTCTGAGGATGAATTCTTAAACAATAAGCTACCATGAAAAAAAGAAGAAAAAAATAAAAAAATCTAATTGTAATTGCAAATTACTGTAATAGTTTACGTACATACTGTACATTTTATGTACCTGACGCATGAATGTTCTCTAGGAATATTTCAATAAAGATTTTGTCTATTGTCTATTGTCTATTGTTGTTCAGTGACAGACGTCCCACAAGATAACATGGCAGGCAGGTGACATCAGCTCATTTATTCGCACTTTATTGATTTAATTTTTAATTTATGAACATAAATTTATTAAAATATTTAAAATAAAACATACAGAATTGAAAATTGAGAAAAATGAATTGAAATCTATATCTGTACATTTTTAAGCGGAGTCAATATTGTCATAGACCAGTAATCAATCTTTTGTAAATACACAAATACCATTAGTTGCTTCCAAAAAAAAACAGCTGTTACAACACCACTTGCGACGTCACCAGTTTGAAGGCCGCGGCCTGGAGTTAAAGGCGGCCGTGGCCCTATACTGTATTAAACCATTAATTGGCTTTGATAAGCGATATTTCATCATGAATTTGAAATTTGTGCCACCAACCTTAAAACAGTGGGCCATCAACTACATGTAGATTGACATTTAGATAAAGAGATGCTTCTTAAGTTCTTTATTCTTCTCTTCTATGTTTTCATTATATTATTTTATGTTAATTTAATACCATTCGCATTCTATATATTTCAGGTCTAAATTAAAATAAGGGATATCAAGGTTCTTTGTGGATAAATAAATATTCTTTTCTTGCCCAGCTCACTTACATTTGATAAATAGTTGTATAGTACTTCATAATCAGTGCTTTTAAAATATTAACAATAAGATACTCATGACATTAAACTGGCCTGCAGATGTAAAGTTTGACTCTTATGTCTGCTAAGAAAAAAAAAAAAACGGTTTTTGTTTTGTCAGATCAGAGATCAGCTGTGCTGTAATGAATTTTGTGTCTGTTTGTTGTGTTGTGCTTGTGAATGAATGTGCACGTGCCTCAGTTTAAAATTTAAGGTTAACCTATTTTGTGTTTATTTTGATCAAAACGAATAAATGCAACTTGTAAGTAGTTTGTGTGTGTGGTGAAATAAATTTCAGTTATGGAAATGCAAAAAGTGTTTAAAGATATTGCTTTGCTCCTTGGAGAAGGCCCAAAAACTAATCAAAGTGACCAAGCTGTTATGCACAACATTTTTGATGTTATACTAAGCTGTACATCTATAGAGGAGTCATGGGAATTTTTCTCTGGACAATTTCTATCTGCTATGGTTAAGTATGCTTGTCCTAATTCATGCTATAGTGAAATTGTTTTCAAAATCTGCATTAATGTACTTTCAGTGGAAAGTTTAAGTTCAAGGTTAAGTACATTGCCAGAAATAGCAAAGTTAATAGAATTATCTATCGATAGCATCACAGATAAAACCTGCCTGTATGCCGACACATGTTGTATGTTTCTTTCAAATTTGACAAGACTGGAAACAAGTTGCGAATTTATATCAGAGAATATAACACCACTTCCAGAGACTTTAAGGCGCTTAGTGACAGCATTTACTATTGTTGGATACAACCCTAAGTGCTCTTTGGACCAACTGGCAATGGTGTTCTGCAACTTGAGCCAAGTTGCAAACATCAGAAATGTCATGACTCTAACGGAGAACAATATTCTTCAGAAACTAATTCCTTTTATGAATCATGATAATCAAACTCGCCGAATTGGGATTATTGGTGTTGTCCATAACTGTGCATTTGATACAAGTATACACAGTTGGCTGCTCAGTGATGAAATAGATCTGCTTCCACGCCTCCTTTTGCCTTTAGCAGGTCCTGAACAGTTTGACGATGAAGACAATGACAAATTGCCAATAGATTTACAGTTTCTTCCCGAGACTAAAACCCGAGAATCCAATCCTGAAATCCGAAAGCAATTGCTTGAAACATTAAATCAGCTGTGTGCTACAAAGTTTGGCCGACAATTTCTAAGAGATCATAATGCATATATCATCCTGAGAGAGCTGCACAAATGGGAAGAAAACTCTTCAGTTCTACTTGCTTGTGAGAATGTGATTGATATTCTTATAAGAACAGAAGAGGAAATTGGTTTTGATCATTTAAAAACTGTTGACATTCCAGAAGACTTAAAGGAAAAGTTTAATAAACTCACTTCAAGTGAATAGACCTTTAGATTAAATACATCAAGTTACCGGTACAGTCTTTTTAAAAATAGTAATTACGTATTGGGGCTTAGATATTTTTAATTTAGTAACTTCAACTAAAGCTTTACAAGAAGAGCATTGCAATGTTGGTAGGGTGCCAAATAGTAGGCTATCCAGACCTGACCTACTTGAAAGACTCAGGTAAATTTATTATTTTAACATGAATACTTTTGTGTAGGTCTAGTTTCAATATGCATTTGGGGTACAGTTTCTTAACTGGGCTACAGTATGCTATTACCGATTAAAACTATTGATTCGATTAGTAAATCTTCATTCAATTTTTTCACTATCAGCAAGTTTGGTTAGTTAGGTTAGGTTATGACAAGTTTAATTTTATTGATGCTATAGTAAAAATATTGATTATTAAGCAATATTTTCAATTCGATAGTTTCAATTGATATTAGCATAGCCCATTTAAGAAACTGTACCCCAACTGATAGCTTTTTTTCCAAGTCTGATGTTTACAAATTCGACCACCTTCCAAGAGATGGCAGTTGGGACGGAGATTAATACTGGTTTAGGCCTACAGGATGGACGTGGCGAGTCAAAAGTGGCAACCGACGGAAACAGCTGTGGCACTTTTCACAACTGAGCTTTTGTGTAATGTTTATAACTTGTTCGTTATTAGCGGTATCATGGCAATAGGTCAGCCGTAGCCACACATCAATGATTTGTACTAGAGGATTCTATGATTATAGTTAAACTTTGTCCTGCTAAATGATTATTAGCTATGACTACAGGTAGGCCTAGGCCTATAAAAATTCTCGACTATTACCTATTTGCACTGTGTTTAAACAGTGCTGTCTCTCTTGTTATCGGTATTAGGAGTTTTAAGTTTATGATTTTAAATAGAAGGGAAGGGTAGTAGTTTGTTGTTTGAACCCAGATGGCTCTTGTGTGTAAAAACAAATTAGCTGCCTAACGTCAAATTCATATTGAAAACCGAATAGGTAAGCTAAGTGAGTGAATCAGTTGCACAACTGTGAAACTAGGAAAGCGATATCATTTGTTTTTTGTCCCAATGCTACCACATTAAGTTTATCATTACTGTTCATTTTTTATAAGCTCACCCCTACTTTGCAGAATAGACTTCATTTCACGTTCACGTACATTAAGGTCGAAAGAGGCCGCCAACCTCTTTAAAAAAGCACTCAGGTTGTCTTACAAACAATATAAAAGTGCCAAATTATCTTTTATATGTTATCCTTTATGTTAAGTTTTTATCTTGTATATTTTTAAATTAAGCTAATTAGGCCTACTGTTGTTGGGAAAATGTATAAAACAAATTATTGTAGGCCTACATGTACATATTGTAAATAAAATTTCCTTTTAATTACTTTTTGTCTTTATTATTTCCTATGGCACCATCAACTCAGTTGTTTTATTTTTGATTAGCTGCATAACAATTACAATTCAGTCAAACTTTAAAGGATGGATTTGGTACATGCTGATTAAAGGGGAAAACAGAGTGTTTAAAGAAAAAGTCGTCCATTTATACTTATAAACAGTAGACCTACTAAGCATAAAAATTATAGGAAAAATGGGAATAGCCCACCATATAGGCCTATCCCTGGTTACTTTGGTACCCTACATCAGTCTCAGTACATACAAAAGAACAGATATATTGGTGTGGGTTTGTAAAATGATTACACGATGAACATATAAAAACATTTATTGTTTTCTGCAACTGAAATACACAAGTTTTAGTCGTTGCGTTTCCAGAAAATAACCCTATACATTAAAGGAACTGAAGAGCAGTTGTGTAATACATTTGGACTTGGTTAAGTATAAAACATTTAGGTAATGGTTTAACACTCGCCTACAATAATATTATACAGAAAGAGTTAGTCTTATGTATATTTATATGAGCACTAAGGTCTATTTCCTAGAAATAAGTCAGTTACTGTACTGCACTTATCAGATTATATTTTCTATGATTTCTTGGAAATAAAACAAACTAGATCATAAATAGAGGAATCCATTGTCGTTCTTTTGCTTAGGTAACTTCTTGTTAAGTTTGGTATGGAAATAGCTCAAGCTGGAAAATGTAGTATTTTAGTAAATAAATTCTCCCATCATTCAACTAGATGTCACTGTTTATCTTTACAAAACAATAATTCAGGGTATTTTTTCAAAGCCACGCTTAAAAAATGACAAAACTGTTTACATAAAGTTTGATGCATTCTGTATAGGCCTAGAGAAAGTTGACCTCAAAGTAATAATTCAAAACTAAACAGCTGAAGCCAGGATTTGACTGCAAATGCCTTGTTACAGCTGTTTTCTATTTGGATTTCTGGATTTACTACCTCGGTCAGCGCAAACTAGATTTGTGAGTTTTTCAAGAAACATCACATAAATGGTCAAATATCCCCTAATTACAAACAATTTTATGAAATACAATGTGTTAAGAAAGTAAACTATTTATTTAGTGACAAGTTTAACCGGATAAAATCCGAAAAAATGGACTATGACTTAATTGTTATTTACATTCCTTTTTCTACACCTACATCTATTTTCCTGTAGTATCTGGAAATTATTACAAAGTAGTATATGACTAGACGAAGATAACATTGTTTTGAGAATCAATTCAAGATAAAAAAATTTATAGAAAATCAACCCCAGGTACAGTGTTAGGTTAAAGTAAATATTTTAATATTGACAACCTTAAGAGCTTGAGAAAGAAATTTAAAATGTCCATGAGCGGCTTAAATAGTGTTTTAAGAAAAAATACATACAGTACTAGAATACGTACATAAAAAGGCTGTGGATGAGTTGATTTGACCCAAAATTTTAAAAATCATGATTAAACATAATAACATGTTGTCTTTATTTTTTTAATAAATCATTAGGATTCAAAATGTTTTGACTTGTAATGTTAAGTTACAAATTGTTACAGTGTAGGAGCTTAATAGATTTTGAATGTCTTGTTAGAAATATATTTTTAGATTTTCATCTTTTTAATTTTTTTTATAAAGAAACTATTCTAGCATCTAAATAGATAATTTTTCTATTAGCCTGTTAATGTTTTAGTGAATTTCACATTTCTAAAGATTCTTAGAAGCTATTATACTATATCTGCGATTTGTAAGAATTCATATGCCTACTACCGGTATTAGTGTGTAGCACTATTCAATTTCTACACGAAACAAAACTTTGAATGCCGAGAAAGACATAGACCCACATTAAGAGCGAGAAAATCTAGATCAAAAAAAGTTAAACTACCTTACAACTATCATAAGTAAATATAATATATGTATAGGCCATACGATAGTATATACAAGTTATGGTTACAGTATTAGAGTAATAGCATTGTACATATATGCTACATTGGATAAAATATGCAGAAGAGTTGTTTTGCATCTTTTACGACTTGGAAAGTATTTATCAAATACAACTTAAAACAATCAAATATGCAGGTACACTCAATTTTTAACTATTCTAATTATTATTTTAAGGCATTTTTAGACTTAATGCCTGATAAAGCTGAACAAAAGTATATAATAAAGTCAGTTTTGAACAAAAAATATACAGATATTTAAAGAGTTATAATAAATTACAACGTACTGGCTGATCAACCTTTACAGTGGTACAGTTGGCACTAGATATCACATGATACATACAAACTCCATAATCCTATCAGCTGATATGATATCTGTAATAGTGACCTTGAATTCTATATTCATGTTTTGTAAAGAAAACCATAATTTTACCACCAGTAAAATCATGGGTAAACAAATTAATTTGTACCTCTACGTAGTCTTGATAGAGGGGTCTTGGCCAGAATAGGTGATAGGAACTTCTGCACAGTGCTCGCTGATCGGGCTCTACTTTGCTTGTTGCATGATTATTACCCTAATGTGTATGTACGTTCACGCTAATCATACTAGAGTTGAAAGCGCAAGATCGTCCCATTAGCAAGTTTCATCTGAACCTTACTTCTCTATGGTTTTTCCTGCTGAGAATTACCTAATGTACTGGTAAGCCTGAGCGCTCTTGGTATCAAAAACAAAATCAAACATAATTTGTATCTCTAATAATCGAATATACATTACAAGTTGTTATGAAGCATCAAGTTGAATTTTGTAAGCATACTAATTTTGCTATTATTTTAAGCTATCCGACACTTACCCGAAAGTGTCGAGTTATCAAGAGCCAACTGTAGATTAAGAGAAGACTGAGCAATGACATTTAAACTTTACTAATTTACTTAATTCCACTCCATGATAGTATTTATTACACTTATAACTAAGTAATAGCAATAGCTAACTCACAGAATCACAACCTCTTGTTTTTCAAGATCAGAAACAAGGTTACATTGAGTGTGCACGTAGATAATTTGACTTGTGGTTTTGGTAATGAACTTCTTGAGCAAGCCACTTTGGCTCGAGGCTGATGAACAACATTGAAGCAGGGGTGAAAACTGTTTTATGGGCTAAAATTGTATGATGGATAAACACGAACAAAAACCATTTCATAATTATTATAACAATGAATAACAATCATAGTTTTATTTTGCAAAGCAATAATGTTTTGTGAATACAAAACTGTCTTGCCAAAAATCTTGTGACTGTATTGGTGTTTGTTAAAGTTTAATTTTGTAAGGGCTGTGTTTGACTGTAAACTGAAATTGACAAATTTAGGATTGTACTGGTACGGTTCTCGAAATGCAAAAATCCAGCACATATACTTTCACTTTTCGAAATGATTTAGGTATGCAGAAAAATCCACTGAACCTAATGCTAGAAAAATAAATGTAAAAGGTCCGTTACCAGTCAGTAAGTTTTTCAATATGGGAACGATCACCATCGTCTAATACAGAAATTGAATATAAAACTTGTTGCCTTTCTACATTCACACTCAATGCATCTTGGCTCTAGGCTATTGAGTAACAACTTTAAAAGACACCTGCTACTGTTTGTGAAAAGAAAGTTGCATCTCCATAAGAAAATGTTTACCTATAATTTTCAATATTTATTATTTAACTGCTCACTGGAGTAGTATGATCAACATAATGTTTATAAAAAAGTTGGTATTTATTCTTAACATTTTAGAGTAGTATTCACAAAACACAGTTTTTCATTTCTTTTTTAAGTGTGAGAAAATTTGAGAAAGTATTTCATTACAAAGAAGAAAAAAATTCAATGATTCCGACAAGCTGGCTAGTTTAACAACAATTCTCTAACGTCACCAGCAGTGAGCACGTCAAGGTGTTAACTTACTGTGTCACCTCTGCCAGTGTTTGTACTATGATAAGGTATGGATTACAGAATATAAATATTATCTTTAATACACTAATACAACATAGGGGAAAGAGGTTTAAAATATTGTCGATATGAGCAACCAATTTTGTACCCTATCTAACAAAAGGCTATTAGATAGTAACAAGACCAGGGCTGGACCGTTTTGTAAATTGAAAAAATGCCATCTCTGCATAGGAATACAAATAAAAGAAAAACATTAAATCTGCGAAACCTCTCTTGCATTCACAAATAATAATTCAGAAATTTTAGAAAGGGGAAAGAATAAAATACATTTTAAAATATATTGTTCAAATGGTTTGATTAAATTTATCTTTGTTTCTTTAAACTGGAGTGAAGAAGTTTTAGTTGAAGATGAGTTTTAATATTTTATAAAAAAAATCCAATGACAGATTATTTATAAAAAAATATGTAAACTGTTTATTATAACTATTTTGTATTAATTCATTTGTAATGTTAATATTTAGTATTTTCCAATATTTCTACAGTTTGGAAAAATTATTGTTTTAAATAAAATATCCAAAACAGTTTAAAAAAATAACACAATCAATTAATTGATTACTAAAATAAACACAATTGTATATGTTAACTAGAATATGGTCTTAATTAATAAAGTAGGCTACTATAGTTTATAGTTAATTGCACTACCGTACTAATATACACACATTCATTTTAAAAATGCAGCATGTAATGTTTCAAGACTTAAATGTTTTTAATCTAAGATTTAATGCATTTTTAATTTAGTAAGCCGTTTTCATTTTTTTGTCACAGAAAAAAAGTTGAAAATTAACTGACATCTCACATGAATTGAAGCATTGATAAACTGCCTTTTAGACTTTAACATCCGGACGTTTAAATAAATATAACCATATACAAACAAGTTTAAAGCTGGACGGTCAATCACACTTTTATTGACCAAATGTCTACAAAATGTGCAAAATCTTTTCAATTCTTTAACAATAAATCTACGCTAAGTAAATCACTTTCGTCCCTTTTTAATTTCAGCCTAAAACTTGTTCTCTGTTTATTAAGGAATAAGTTTACTACTCAATTTCAAACATGTTTTGAAACAACACAAATTTTCCTGGATGGATTATAACACTGTCTTTTAGTAGCAATACATGTACAACTGCTTTGGTGTCCTCCACACTCTGCTGTCTAAAATAAACATATGGTACGACACAAACAAAATGCCATAACTTATAGCACCTTTTATCTTATCTTTCAAAGTCACCCTACATCTCTCCGTAATGCCCTTAGACGTAGGCATCCTTCCGTCACAAACCATCTAGTTAGTCTAGTTGTGTTCGCCGAGTTCTACTTGAAGCGTTGCATCATGGGACTGTGTTGGTTGCGATGGGATGAACCTCGAGAGGCTAGGTACTGATATGTCGAGACGAGAACATTGAGAGCGTTCACGGGGACGGGACTGAGTGCTCCGAGGGCGTTCCATCGCTGGAGTTTACTGAGAACGCCTTCACCGGAGGCCTGCGCTGACGTAGAACCGTCGGGTCAAAGTTGGGATGTCGTCTGGCGTGTTTGCTGTAACGTAAATTCAGTTGTAACTTTTTCTTATCTAAGTCTTTAGCTTTGAGTATTGATAAAACTATTTAACACATTCTCTATTTAAAGTCATAGTCAGTTTTACAATAAAAATGAACATACAGTACTAGAATTAGTCACCATTAGAGCACTGACCGCATTAAAGAGGGGATTTGCTCCTACTTCCCACAGGAAATATTAAATTAATAAAACCATTTTCTGTAATAGATTGCTATTGTACTCTTAACTTAAAATCGTTGAATACTTGCATAGAGCAATCAATCCTTGGTTGCATCAATACAACTAATATAATAAGTTCCAAATCAGTTAGTAAAAATCACTATCATTTAAAGATTTTGTAAAAATTTTATTGAACACAAACTCACATGGACATAATATTATAGAAAGTTTCACTTGTGTTAACATTTCACTTTCTAATAAATTGTGTGTTTTATGTAGATTTCTTTATACAGTACATTACTTTAATTAAAACAATCATCAATTATAAAAACCAAGGGTTACTATGCTGACATTTAAACCAAAATCGACAGTGGTCCTCAACCCAGGTAAAAGACTGCCATAAGCTACTATTCTCTAAAACCGCAGATATGAAGCCTCAGTAAGCAATAGTTGTTGACAAGTTGGTATACCTGAGGTGGTCGCTTCTCATGAACTTCTTGCTACAGACAGGACATTTGAAGTTCTTCTCGCCAGTGTGAGTGCGAAGGTGTCGAGCGAGCTCGTCGGACCGAGCAAACCTCTTGCCGCAGTCGAGCCATCTGCAGGGGAAAGGCCGTTCGCCTACAAACAGAATATCATATTAAATCAATTAAATCTCTTGTAAGTACTTAAACAATTAAATTCAAATACACCTGCTTAGTGGAAGAATGTTTTCATAAAATATTTAATTTGACCTTATTTTTTTATTTTTGCACTTTTATGAGGGAACAGTCCAAAACCTAGCTACCATTCAACCTCTTTGCTAGAGAACATACATTAATTTCCCAATGACAAATGCCATCCACTAATACAAAATTTTTTAAATAAAAATAGCCTACTGAAAAATTAAACGTCATATGAGAAATTAAATATTTTGGTTAAAAAACACATATTGCTCCACCAATTGATATGAAACTAATAAAAAAATAATTGGAAGAACTCATGCATATAGGACTATTTATATATATTTACTGGCTGAAACATAGCGCCTTCAAATACAAAGCCACTACACGCATAACACCAGCGCATTGCCAGTTTGGTGAAACTTGAAGGCGTTACATAAAGTCCATTTACAATGGTTGATTATTGATTTACAGCTGATTTTGTATTGTTGCAACACAGAGAAATTGTTTTTCAAGATAAAACATTTTTGTCAATTATCAGGCGTAATAAATAGTGTATCGGGTGGGTAGAATACACTTTTCTGTGTTTAACTAATAAGGTTTACGTATTTCTGGGAGTTCAACAATAACTTCGAACTTCCGAGTCAGCGAGTCTTTGTGAAAGGTTTTCTTGTTCAGCTCTACACCTGTCAGTAGTGTCAGCTGATCTGATACACCAGTGATCAACAGCTGGGTAAGGAAACAGGTTACGTCATATATCGATACAGATATAATGATGATGGTACCGGCATAGTCGTCTCGAGTTTCACAGGTGTTCCCAATCGCTCTTGGATATTTTAGTTTTTTTCCAATCACAAAGACTGTAGAGAATATTTGTTAATTTTTACTCAAAACCTGAGAAATTAGCATTATTTTGAGTACAGATTTGCTACAGTAATGCTTTTTACCTCTGAAAAAATATGATTAAATTAGCTGTAACATAAAATAAGACTTTTTTGTTCATCGAAAGACTATAAAGAAAAACACCTCTTTCAATTGCAAAGAGTAGAAAATCCTGTTTTGCAGAGTATTTGCCAAGTACATTAATTATGATGTGCATTTTCGCACATCATAATTTGTCAGCACAACACATTTCAAACAGAAAGTTCTGTTAAAACAAAAGCGTAAAGTAGGCCTCGGAGGAGTGGTGTATTGATACAAGGGCCCTCCCATGACGTCACAGCACTGTCACACCTCGTACACCTATGTTGAGACTCTTGTCCATTGGTAGTACTGTACACTTATCCCTTATACCGATGTAAAATCTTTCAAAAATCGGTTAAATCAACTTTAACATGTAATTACAGTTACGTTAGAATGTGCATTTTCCGAATATTTTTTTTCTAATTTAAAGTGATTTTTACAAACTTAAGTGAATTGATCAACTATGATACCGGATGAGCATAAAAACTACTGCCTCCAAATAATTGAGCACTGTAAACTACTTATCTGAGGACTCGGTGCGGAATCCTAAGGGATGCATAGGGAGAGCTAGGAAGGGCGGAGGGTGGATTGGGGAGAATGAATGGAAGGGAATAGAACATGTAAAGTTACACGGGGGAGCTCTAAAATATCGATCACAAACTGGTTTCATTCTTAATAGAAAATCAAGTACGTTGCGTGTTTGACATGACATACTTTGAATATGTGATAGTGATCGCAGAAAGAGTATGAACACTTTTTGAAGGCTGATAACGTCACATATATTCCATATTGTGGTTCGAATATTACTATAGTCTGTATGATGGAACCTGTCTTCTGGCCCTCCACCTACCTGGGACCATCGATGTATAATAACTCTACTGGGACTTACCATTGGCCAGTACTCAGGAGATTCGGGAGACAGGTTCTATCATACAGACTCCCTACTAATCGAGCATTCTCTTTGGTAATCTACATCTACACATTCATTTATTTTGCAATATAATTTTGACATATCTTCATAAAATGCAGTGTTAATATACGCATATCCACTATCGACGTTCGTATTGCTTGTGATTTCGACCTTTGTTTTCCTGGCAACAATAGTTTCATTTTCATTCTACTCAATTTTCAAAGTTGTAGCATAGAATAAATAGTGTTTTTATTGTGTCTACAGCATTCCGTTGACTGTAAGCAGTCCAAGGTATAGTAATCATTCTCTTGCTTGTTGATTCCGCAATAACTTATGCGAGGTGTAAAACTATTAAAGTACACCGATGCCGTTAGTGTCCAATAACGGAAGTTAAGCGACGTGGCGGAAGTGTGACAATGCAAAGACGTGTGGAGTTACATAACAATCGTCTGAACGTCCTTGACATCCACCACGTGGTCACGTGGTTTGGCGCGTAGTAGTGATAATGCGTAGTTTGGTGTTGTGGTGTTGGCAACACTGGCAAGCCCACCGATGTACTATACAGCCTATCTACACTAGTATGATAACCTTGGCTGAGATAATATGATGAATGAGACTGTATGATAACAGCTGCAAGATTAGACACACTCCTTTATTCATCAAATTTGTGGATCAGCTGACGTTTTATGTCCAGAAACGACAAAAAAGACATAAACTAAAACTATCTCTGAGGGTATAACCAATGAGTATTGCACACTTTTATTTATGTATTAAGAGATAAAACATTTAGAGACATTCGTTTAGGTTGTTAGCGGACGTTTTATGTCCAGAAACGACAAAAAAGACCTAAACTAAAACTATCTCTGAGGGTATAACCAATGAGTATTGCACACTTTTATTTATGTATTAAGAGATAAAACATTTAGAGACATTCGTTTAGGTTGTTAGCGGGAATAAAAAAACAAAAACAATCTTCAGTACGTAGGAAGAGAAGTGTCCATGCAATATCGGAACGGAATTAATTTCTGACAAATTGACAAATATGAATTGCTCCTTGTGTAGGCCCTACTATGGTACCTACAACTCAATGAAATTGAACTATAATTATAACATCCTTTTAGTCACTTAGTAATATTACGTAGACGTATATGTCGCTTCGACGAAATTGTCGTCTTGGCCTGAAAAAATATATTTCTGTAGACATAAATTAAACAGACACAAGTAGGTCAAGTTGGCCTCGTGGCCACGCTCGAGGTTACACCCACAGCCTTCTGTATCTGTATATCACGACCACTCAAACACTTTAGTTTGTAGCTTCACAGCCTTCTGTATATCACGACCATTTCCATTATGATAGTTTTGTACCCTTAATTTCTCAGCCTGTTGTTCCGTACAATGACAATGAGACAAATGGATTATTTTAAAGGAAAGAACTTAAATTTCTACATATAAAGAGTGACACCGTCAGATAATATTTTAATTTAAAAACATATAGAAACTGTAACGCTTCTAAGCTGAGATTAGACCGAATTATAAACTTTTATAACTTACTGCCATACTTATAATAATGAACATTTGCCAATTACAGTACTATAATCTGTTTACCATGATGAAATTACTATTTGGCTACAAAAAGAACAAATCCTAACATTGTTACTAGAATTTTCCGTTAAGATAGACATTAGACTGTAAGATTATCAGATTATTTGCTGATCCTTACATAAAAAGCAAAATGTCAGTGTCATTAACACACCAAATTACATTATACTTAAACGTTCATCACATAATATTTTCCATTCGTTTATAAAAACGTCAGATTGTTATCTGTTTGAACGATGTAATCGATTAACGCATGAATCTAGATTCAATAAACAAAACAACCCCTCCAACCCCCTCGCTGGCAACAATGCCCGGGCCAGGTCAGCTGTTATCGACTGCGAGTGACCTTGGCCTTGACGCGACTACAGCGCTGCTGCGGATCTTGACACAACTACTCACACTTCACACACGCTCTTCTCTTCCGCCAATTAGCGTAGTTTCCGCATTCAGTGGTCTTGTACCGTAGCGGATTGTGAGGATATGTCCAATGTTGAATTAGACGGTGATAAAATCTAGAGGATGTTGTATAAAGAACTTACAACTGATATGTTTTGAGTTCACGTGTAGAAATTGTTTAGGTGCAATTATTTATCAAAAATAAATCATGTTTATTTTTTTATCGAAGTAAATAAGTCCGAAATGCCTTCGGAGAGCTAGCTGGTATAGTGGTAGAGCGCGGGGCTTCGGTCCCAAAGGTCCCGGGCTCAAATCCCGCCAATCACCAAAGAACTTAGTGATAATGCCGCAACTCTCTAGGTCTATCCTGCCCTGTAGCAATGTGTAAAAACAGTACCAGGCAGAGACCAACCAACAAATATAAATAAATCGTCTTCTACAAATAAATCTGTGCAAGTCTTGGCAAAAAAAAATCTTTAGAAACGCCTTTGTATATTGCAACAAGCTAAACACAGGTCATTCACTCTCCACTCCATCAATTCTCACACACTGCACTCGTAATCAGCTGTAGGCATGTGTGTCAATTCTATGTAGAAGTAGAATAGAATCGCAGTACAAAAGAAATAAAGTATTGAATAAACATTATAATAAGACTGGGTTATCAACTGCTCAATGATTTTCGAAACATCTCTTTTATGAGTTTTCTTTCCACGCAACTGTACCCATTACTATAAATCTGACGCTATCGAGAATCCCTCAAAATATTTTCACAAATTGTCAAATTCACTTAGAAATCACACTGTATACGAGTGACCTCTCGATTCCATCAAATGTCACTTTGTGTTAGCAGGTACCCTGCCCGAGGCTAGTACAGCACGGTGGCGCGCCGGGTGGCGTGATTATCAATTACTCGCTCATTTCCATCCCATATCCGCATCCGGCCCCGGGCACCTCGGGCCAGCCAAGTGGTGGTTCGGTTCCTCACTTTACGTTTAGTTTTGCTCTTCTGCTTCGCTCCGCGCGAAAACGTGAAAGCAGCCTGGATATGATCAGGTTTTGACACCTCTATGAATGGACGGTATTGTTGGGTT